CCCAAGGTCCCTTGCCTCGGTGGCTTCAACTGAAAGCACGGACTCTGGGTTTGGGCTTCTCAGGCTTTTTTTGAGGGCCCTTCTCCTCCCTCGAGTTTAGGCTTTTCTCAGCACTGGAGTATCCTGGAGTGCTCTGAAAGTAAGCCAAGGTGCAGCAACCCGAGATTGCTCGTTTGCACTTCGTTCTGCGTGAAGCAGTCCTGGGCGGCCTTCACAATGTCGCTTGCTTGCCTGGTCGAAAGGAGTGTAGCTATGTATATAAGTGTCGGCCAGTGGGACTAATGGACAATATGTAGGAATTCGGGGGCTTTCCACAAAGCAAGAGCAAAGACAACTCAGGGACTTGTTAGGTTGCTCTGCGCAAAATCCGTATGCGATGTGTCCTTTCGGATGCTTGCCTGAGCAGTGAGGACCAGAAAAGGCACGCATGGCGCCGATAAGTGACACAAAAGGCCGAGGCGCGCATCGTCAGCCCAGCCTTGGAGGAGGCATCTGGCCGAGGTGCCACGCTTGAGGCTCAGGAACTCGTCAGCTGCTGCGGAGCACAGGAGCATAAGGAATGTCTTCCACATCATGGCGCGGCGGTGGCTGTGCAGATTGGGTTTCAGCCGGGGGGAGCTTTGAGCCTGATCCTCACACTTCATGGAAAAAAACATCGTATCCCCGTCCTCCAAGGAACGCCCTACCACTGTGTAACACTTCCATGAGCAAAGCAAAACCCATAATCAGGCCCGCCGCCAAATCGAACCTGAAGGGTACCCACACCCTGGCAGCCCTCCACGATCCCCCAAGTAGACACACACACACACACGCGCGCGCGCAGAGAAGCACAACCGGCTTCAACCGGGCCTCCGCGCTCCCTCTCACAGACTGCAGCGATCAGACCTGGACTAACAGCGATCAGGATACATTTGACGTTTATAAGGTTTCGGCGCTCACACTCGGACAATCCAGGCGAGGCATGTGGTTCGAGGCCTGATGAATGAAGCTTTCTGGTGGGAATGGCTGAGAATACAACTAGGGTTGAAGGGTTCACAAGGCAGGCAAGGCTTCCGAGAACGGCTGACGGTAGAATAGCCTATAGGGTCTAATCTTGCGTCATTGTAAGCCCCGTACATGTGGCAAACACGCCATTTATGTGTGCCAGCCAGGGCTGACCAACCCAAGCCCGCATCAAGGACTCTGAGTTTATGGCAGTTGTTAATTTATCGCTCTGGACTTAGATGCCCTGCTGTTGGAAACTTCCATTTAGTGCCGGCTTCAGCATCCTCTGTCTCTAGCGACTCTAGCGGACAGCTCACCACGCAAAAAATGCTTAAAAATCAAGCAGCTTGCAACTTCAACAAAGTGCCGGGCCTGTCGCGCTTTTGCCTTGCATCCTCAAGCAACGCCGTCTTTGAGCAACCCTGCGGTCGGTCTACAGCTGCCCTGGGCTGCACCAAAGACGAAGTCCTGTGCACTTGAAAGCTTTGGCTCCAAGTGCTGGATCTTCAAACGCTGAAACTGGGCGCCTTTTTCTGCTTCCCTTTAAAAAAGAATTCCGCCAACAGAACTGCGATTCGTCATTCCATGTCCTACAACGAGCCAGGCTTCATGATTAGGGGCTTTGCACATATCCGTTGGAGGGGGCATAAACTTGAATTCAGGCAGGCGGGTTGGGGATCTTGTCTGCCTCTAAATTCGCCAGCAGTAACCCCAACAAAAGCCCGCGAATGCCAATGCTGCTACGATCCATGCAAGCACCCACCCAAAGCTTCGGGAGGCGACTAAGACTGTAATCATGCTTCCTCCTGTGAACAAAACACAAAATGAGATAGCTCCCACAAAGATCTCCAGAGCCAAAGACTTGCAGCCACACGTCCAAAAGCGCAAGTCGCGCCTGGTTGTAAAGTGGAACAGAATCACGATGGAAGGAAGCCACAGAATGTCATGGGCCAGAAGATGACTAGCAGCGAAACCAAGCACGCTTTCTATCGGAGCGTTGGCTCTGCACAAGGCTACGAAGCCCTCCAGACTCAGGCAGAATATCGGACTCAAGCTCAACCAGACATATGCAAAGGGCACGCTGCCACCAGCTCGCATCAGCCTCACCACCTCGCGGTGAAATGGCCCCTGTACATGCGCGGAAAAGGCTGCCAAACTGCCATACCATTGGATGATGGCGTCGTGTATGCACTGTCTGTCAAAATCGTTGCTGCACTCCACATTCATAACATCAAACGTGGCCAAATCCGAGTCCAATTTGTCACGGTCCAGCTTCTGCTTCCACGCTACATGTGCCAGGGACGGGAACATAACAGAAAACACGCACAAGAACACGGCCAACAGGCGCACGCCATCGCCACCTTCGGGGCCTCTCCTGGAAAACCAAAACACGAAAGTAAACACATTCACCCACAAAAAGCCTTTGCATGCCAACAGCTCGTTGGAAATTGGTGCGATGACAATTTTTCCGGATGGGTTCATCTTCCGGTAGGCCGCAAGTTCGAAGACGCACCACCTGGGTCGGCACCAGATCGACAGATCTAAAGATTACAGGCGCTGATCGTCTTCGAAGTGTTGTAGTTCTAAACTTGTAGGAGTCTCTGCAAACTGAGCCGGTTTGGCGATGTCTTAGGAGTCCCCGTGCATCCTGAATCCCAGACTTTCGGATACAAAGGACGCATGCTGCTAGCTGAGATGTCTAATTACACTGTCTACAACTGCGAAACTGGATATAGTGCTCTCAACATGCAGCAAGTCACAACCTCGAAAGGTACGGCGCACTCCAAAGCACCCGCAATTCCGCCGAAGCTGCCAAGAAATGTCCAATGCATCGGATCCCCTGCTGCATTTCGACACTGTCTGTCTGATTGATGCACACGAAATCCAGAAAACACGTGTCTGATCCATGAAGGCACGGAAGGTATGGAAAGGCCATCAAGCCTGCAATGGGGGCCAGCAGGCCGGTCAGCAGGATCCAACATCCATAAGGAACTTGACCATGAAAGCCAATGGCGTGGACCTCAAAGCTCGTGCATGCTGGCAAAACCCCAATGAGGCTCAGCGCGAAGGAGAGACTTATCCCAAGAGTCCATGCAATCAACATAGTTGGCCAACCAAAGTGGATCAGTAGAGATAGCATCTTCCACTTCCCGTGAGTCCACCAGGTGTGCGACAAAAACTTGTCAAATCGTTCCGTAGGCTTGGAAGTAGCAAACACCTGCTCTCGCTTCTCAACACTGAGGACCGACGGGCTGTACAGCCAAAGCCAACCCCCCCGCTTTAACGTGCTTCGCAAGGAAACGCCTCGCATCAGATCAGGCCGAAGGAGGCTACTTTGCGTGAGGATGGCTGTCGTCACTCCAAGGCTTGAAGAGCTTGAGGAGCTGGGAATGACGGCCTGAGCGCCCACGCTTTTGCTGTCAGGGCCAACCACAGTCGAGGGGATCTGACTGCTCTGAGCAAGGTGTTCGATTAGCTTTTCGTCTGAAGAGCAGCTTCTTGAGACCTCTTCGGGTTCCATGCGACAGCAACACGACGAAGCAGGAAATTCCTCCATCTCGATTCCACCGCGGGTCGTCTGTATGCTAGGACTACATAGCAGGCGTAACTGTAGACAAGCCTGCCGCTGTTTGGGCCAAACAGGCGATATCAATAGCCGGTACATGCTCAAATATGTTCAGACGTGACAAGTTTGCAAAGCCAGTGGCAAGCACATCGACAAACCCCGACGTTCACAACGTTGAAAGGGTTTCAAGCGTCGCCATGCAAAATAAAATGTTCAGGTCGAGAATAACTAACTGCACAACTGAACTCATTTGCTGCACATGTTCGGAATGGCTTTTTGTAGATCTTAGATCATATTGTCGAATGGAAGCTGACCCAGTTCCAACCTTCCAGCAGGGTTCGCTGCACCACAGAAGCCTGCGCCAACAAACGCACGACGGCGAAGCACACGAACGAATAGGGGCCACGGTTTCGATCGGGTTTGGAGTAGAGGTTGTGGCTGCCTCTCCCTTTCTCAAAGGAAGCCTCCCGGCACCACTGGAAACCCCTCTGACACAACCGAAAGCAGGACCGAAGGACCTGTGGAAGCCGGGACCCAGAGACCTTCACGGTTTACGCTCTCGCAACTCGGACAAGCCTGACGAGGTCTCTGGTGCTGTGTGCTTTGACGGTCGGTACTACGAGCTGGCTTCCAGTACCGGGGTTTAGGCTTTTTTCCCTAAGGGTTGAGGGATTAGGGTTTTTTCTAGGGTTCAGGGCTTAGGGTGTCCAAATCCTAAACCTAAACTTCATCTCCCTTTGGCAAAGCGCCTTCTGCAACTTGACCCAGCAAGCTTCAACTGTTCAACTCTCAACGCTTGCAAGGATGTCCATGCATCATATGGTAGCGAAATGCAGATGTGTAGCGAAATGCTGGAGGTGCTTCTCCCCCGACTTCCTCCTACACTTCTTTGGTGGGTTCGCAGTCTCATGAGCTTTTTCATAGGGCTTTCCTGGCGTTGTCCCACATTTGTGGAGAAAGCTCGGGATGCCATGGGCCAAGAGTGCAACTGGAGGCTCCCATCAAGAGACGGGAAGCCATGGGAGCCATGTCTTTATGCATGGCATTGATTTGGAATTCGGAAGCTGCTTATTCCTGCTTGCGGCCGCTTGATCTAGTCTCTAACTCTATTCGAACCTGGAATGCGCGGCTCAATCTCTGTCTGCGGCCGCGCGCGGGCAAAAAGAACCCGCTCATAAAGCTGCTTTGGAAAACTTGAGTGTCGGGCCAGGCGCTTTGTGCGACTCCCGTAAGGTAACTATGTCAAATCAAAGCATATTCAACTAGCTCGCGCGAGGGCTGCGAAGCATTTCAGCTGCGTTGCGAGGTGCTTCCTGCAGCAACCCTGCGCAGTTGGGGACTGCAAGTTCGGGGCGCTTTTTGTAAATATCGGGTAGTGATGGTACAGGTATCAGGCTGGCATGGAATCGCCCCAAGTTGCAGATTCAAAACTTCATGGAATTCAACCCTCCTAGATCGAGACCAGCGTGGATTTGCACTTCCCGAATACAGGAGCGGAACAAAGACGATTGGGCATGCCCAAGGAGACGACGTCCAGGTCATCCAGATCATCTGGGAGCAAGTAGACTTCCTTCCTAGGCTCTGCATTGGCACCGTTCCAGATTGTATGAACCCGAGTAGGAATTGCACGGAATAGTGGTGAAACCCTACAGCGTTATTTAACTACACACGAGTGGCAGGGGTGGTCGGTCACAGAGCATCCCAAGAGTACAGTACCCCTCCAATCTGTCGTTTGACGTTTGCACATATTTGCACCGGACCGCCTTGCGATTCATCACTGAAGGTCATGAAACTGCTGATCCCGAGTACAGCACTCACGGCAGCTCAGTTGGGGCAGGGTTTGGATCAAAGTGGTATTTTCGCTTGGTGGGGAAGGCACCCATGCCTCCATCCCGGCCACAAATTAAGTTTACCACCTTTGCGCCCCCCCTCACAAATTCCTTCGTTCTTGGTCCTGCCCTGTCCCTTTCCCCCATCCTCCCCTTCCTTTCAGCGTGCCCCTCCCTCGCTCCTTCTCACTGTCTTCCATTTTCCGACCCGCGCCGATGCTGCCGGGGGGACGGGTCGGCTTAGAACAGAACAAGGTTTTGTGTTGTAGCTAAGTCTCCCCACAGGGCACGCTTCGCTGGTCGAAGAAAGCCTGGGATGTCGCTGCTGTTTTCTGACGCACGAGTACATTGACGACTTCTACTACAAGCAGGGAAGTTCTTACAATCGTTGGATTTACTGTCATTTTCGCGCAGCTGTTTAAAGCCCTCAACTGCTGCCTGGAACTACCAAAACCAAGCACAAAACATACGATGCCTGACCATGGCTCTGAGGGTTCTGGGACTGGAAATCCCTTGCCTCCAAGCCAACTTCATCTGCCGAGGGCAAGGAGGTGTCCACAGGTGCTGCCTTGAGATTGCCCGAGACTGCCTCTATGCACTTCTCATGCGACTTCCTGGGTTGATCAGTGCTTTCACGGCTGGGGAGGGTAGGTAGATTCGACCGTACTCGCATTAGACCGAACGTACACCTTACATCACTTTACCACATTAGAAGGGTATGTAGGCCCTAATACTGCCCTAATATCCCCGTCACACCTTTGTTGCTTCTTGGAGGGATTCTTTTCAGAGTCATCCTCTTCTGGCCCAGGGCGGCAGGACAACGGGACCACGTCATACAAATCTGCCTTTGCTGTCCTGCAAATGATGGGATGCGAATCCTTGGATGGACACAGTGTAACAACTTTAAGGCTGCCGTGTGCCTTTCTCATCCCACTTGTTCATACCGTGTTGCACCCCAGAAAGACATCAAAAGATCAACATGTCTTCTTCGATTTCGGATCCCAGGGTCTCCAAGCCTCCCGAAAAGTCGGGTGGCTTCCCCCAAGTCGGAACCGACGTCCTCGCCCTCCTCGAGGGCACGCTGAGTATGTGCCCAGCCCGACGCACGAAGCTTGAAGCTACGACTCTGCATGTCCGAGCAAACCCCCTATGGAAAGCATACTGGGGCATTGGTATGTGTGTGCTACGTTGATCCGCGACATGTCTGGGGGATCCTGCTTCCAAAATCAAAAGCCTCTTAACGGAATGCTACCATACTTGGCGCCTGCCCTTAAGATTTAGACGTTCTTCAAACCTTGCGCCTGTTGGTGCTCGTTGTGGAGTTTGGGATGGATATACCATTTCCACGCAGGAAGCACCTGTGGGGAGTTAGGGCTATTCATGCACGGATTCTTATAGTAACTAGATAAAAGTTATCATCAAAGTTGACACTCAATCCAGGGTCGCACCCCCGACGATGAAGGTTGCTGTGCGACCACAAAAATCTCTTAAAGGGTGGTATCAAGACTATCATGAGATGAGGGGTAAGGTCTAATTCAGCTGGCACCATGGCAGCCAGCAATATTGCCAGGAGGAGGTTCCTGAGCCAGGCAATCGAAGGCTGCGCTGTCGATATATCATATCTTCTATAATTTTTACAGTTTATGATTGTATAGTCCCCCAGATTAACATGGAAGTGAAAAGCGGTCCCCTACGACTACTTGACTACTCCCTTCTGTATGGGGCCATCAGTGAGTTCCAAGCTCGGTTTCGGGAAATCATGCTCCTTGCAACACCTGCTTGGAGGTTCATGGGTAGATACTGTATAAGAAAGTAAGGGTTATATATAAGTGCAGTAGGGTAACTATGCTTGTAACCTATCTTAGGGATTTATAACCCCAGTTATAACTACCCATGAACCTCCAAGTGCAGGCTCGGGGAATGGATCCCTAGAGTAGTCGCTATATACTATATAATATGATCCTCAATAACAGTCCCCATAACCCATTCCCCCATTCCGTACTAAGAAACAAACAGACACCTGCAGGCAAGACGCATCACAGGTGGCGGCAAGCGGCCCACGTGCTTCTCTGCTACTCCTGCGACCGCTGCGTCGAAGCAGCGCTCCCATGAGATGCCAACCTTCACCACAAACAATAGAATCACCAAAAGAATCACGGTAATGGACATGATTGTTATATCATAAAAGTTTGTCTCGTATTGCATGATGTGATGTGACGTGGTGTGATTGGATGTGAGCATGATACGAATATCATAAAACTATGATATGAGCTTTATGTTGTATCTTACAATATGTAATGAGGTGCCCCTCCCAGTCCCCACTCCGGCCCAGAATATGAGTTAAAGCACATTCCTTAACCAAGGCAGCTAAGTCGTTAAGTCGTGGGGGCTGCTCGAATGCGCCGCATGTGCCCTCCAACATGTCAACACGGTGTGCAGACCATAGCACCCCCGGCGGAAACCAACTGGAATCCGGTGTGTAGTCTATGCCGAGCTGATGCGGTGATGAGGGTCCCTGGACCGTCGCACGGCCCACACCACCATGCCGCCACGCACAACAAAGGCATCACAAACAGATGACAGTCCGAGTCGTGAGAATGATTTGAAAATGTGGGTCTGCAGGACGGTGGATCTTTAGAGTCCTGATCGTTTTGCCTGCACTGCGGGGTCCGGTGTTCCTCAAGTTTCATCCTCCGCTCCTCCCCCTCCTCCTCTGACTCTTCTTTCGCGCCATGGACGAACTATCATGAATTATCCATCAGATCTCCAAGTGCACCCTTTGGTGCGGCTTGTCTTACCTTGCCTATCGGTGCCCCAGATAATCACTTGACCTTGCGGACCTCGATTGGATTGACTGATTGTGTTTCAGGTCTTGCAGTAAAAAAATCGCTTCAGGTTACTGAGTTCCTGTATCCATCTCGTCTGAGATCGGTGTCACGCTGCTGATAACACGCAACCGCTCTTCAATCGCTTTTGTCAGGTGATCCACCTTCTGCTTCCAACTGTTGACCGCTTCGTTTCCTCGATGCAGGTGACGGTTCGTATCTCTTGGCAAGTCGTTGCACGCGCCGAATCCACTCCTACCAGTACCACTGCTTACCACAATGGCGATTGGCTCAGCTTGCTGTCAGCATTCGCTTCTCATTCAGGTTTGAATTTCCCCAATGCTCACGAAGATCCGCATGGAACAGGCATTGGCTGTCAGTCTGTCGCCATAGCCAGCATTGTTCATGCTTATTCCTGCTAGCTGCCCTTCCTTACTTTTTACAGCACCTCCTCGAATCCCGCTCAACTGGTTCAACCCACTCGAACATGCATCCCGACAACAAATGCCTGAAAGCCTGAAAGTCGGCGATCGGCGCGAACGCAACAAGGAAGGATCGCGATTCTTGCTTTGTCCAGTCCAAGCCGCCAGCATTCCCAAGGCCGTGATGATGGTGCGGAGGGCACAGTCCACTTCTGCGTCGTGGGCATTCATGTCTGCAACCTTATTCTGCGAATGGCGGATCACAAAGACTTCCGCCCGAGGGCCCTTACTTGGAGATTCAGGCAGGATCTGCAGGTCCTGAAGGACCCAAGAAAGAGGGTCTTGCACAATGCTACACTGCTTTGACCCCTTCGGAATCCCTCACATGAAAACTAGCTCCAAAATTGGGAAGCACAGTAACCCCTCAAACCGCTCATCTCTCTCTCTGCAACCCCCACCCGACATCCAACCAACAACCGTTGCGAGTTGCCTTGTCTAGGCCGAAGATCAGCAGAAAGGCGAAGCAGGTCCCGGCAAGAGCCGAGACGACGGCCTTCATGGATTTATCCTGGGCTACAGGGAGATTCCAAAATGTTGCAAAAACGTGTTTCCATGAGCGGTTCTGTAAACACGCACCATGAAAGGTTTCTTGGCTTCACCCGCACCATCTCCCGATGCCCTGGATGTGTTTTTGCCGATTGTAAAAGTTGCTCGCTTTTGCGCCAACGCGGCGAAGTTTCAAGTGCCCCAGCCACCTCTTTCGTGCTTTCGATGCGTTTTCTCTAGTGCTCTGTGTGTTCTTCTCGGTAAAACTCCTTGTGTTGCAGCCTGTCCCGGTTTAAAAATCTGCTGGGCAGCATCTTCCTCTGCATGCTTTGCACGCACGTGAAAACAGCCACGGAGCATCGCTCGTGTTGACTGTTGAGCATAGGTTTGAAGCCGTGGCAAGATAATAGAAATGTTAGTTCGCCTGGGGCATGGATTTGGGCGACTGCAAAGCTGCAGAACTAACTTGTCCAGAAACGATAACCGAATACGCCCAAGGATTTACACACCTTTCCAAACCATGAAAAATTGGATATCTAGGGGAGACACAAATGTTCCGCCCCCCAGGCCCCAAAGCAGCACATTCAGTATATCAAGCCTTCATACACGCCGGGTCTCCATGTGAAGGCTGGAAGCAACCCACCAGTCGACCGAGATGTGGAAACACCAGCCAAAGCTCATAGCCGCGATCTTTTGATACCAATTCGCGCTTCGATCTTCCGTCTCCTTTCGTACTACAACAACAACCACCAACACCACAGGAACGCATCAGCAACAGCATCAGCAACAGCAGCAGCAGCAGCAACAACAACAACAACAACCAAAAAAAAAAAACACACACACACACAACCACAACCCCAACCTGACAACAACAACGCCAACAACAACAGTGGCAGCGGCAGCAGCAACGGCAACAGCAGCAGCAGCAACAGCGGGAGAAGCAGCCTGTGCTGCTTGGGACATCTTCGGGAAAGACGCTGCACTGCGAGCCTGTGTGTTAGCTTTTTAGACCGCCACAAGTTCTCAGAGTTCTCTGCCAAGACGGAATGAAGGACCATAAGACCTCTAGGATCCTCCTTATACAATAGTTGTTGACAATTCATAGCGGCTCAAAGGTAGTCAACACTGCAAGCATGGCGCAGATTGCCAATCGACCTAGAAGACATACGCACACACGCGCGCACACACACACACACACCACTTCAAGGAGCATATGGCAATGCCGTGCATGAAAGCCCGGTCCTCATCACTTGGCGCAGCTTTGCCACGAGATCTGGCATAAGCCAGTCTTGCCAGCTCGCTAACGCCCAAGACGAGGCCCACCGAGAGCAGCAGAACACAGTTCGCGGTCCTGTTTGCGTCTTGGCGTTGGATTTCGTACCAATTTATATGGAGGGTCTGTAACCCTCGGGCTGATCTTGTTTAAACGAAGATTAGCCCCAAAGAGGATCCTGAAATTCTCTGACCCAAGGCTCGAATGCCATGTGCCTTCTGTATCCTCGCCGGACAGACCAGGCAGCTCGCCAGTGATGCACAAACGCAACCTCGGAGGTCATGGGCCCAGGGTTTGGGGTTTAGGGTGAGTCATGGGCCCTTGAAGGCTTTAAGAGACTGGCATGAACGGAGTAGCCGTAGCCTTAACTCTACATTTTTTCAGAACAGCTTTCAGCATGTTCGCTCGGACTGTTCGAGAGGAAGGCAACAAGCTGGAGGGCAAAGTTTTCTGCATAAGATCCTAGCAGCACCTGTGCAATGAGGAATGACACAGACAGGGAGATGACTTCATCTTCCGTCTCTGCGACGCATTCCCCCCAGATCTCTTCGTACTCGTCCTCCTCGCCGTCTGCCATGGTCCTCTCATAGCGCCAGCGCGCTGTGGTTCCTGCAGATTTGTAGCTTTGTAGAAGCTTTTCGATGGTCGTTACAGCAGCTGTTAGCAGCGTTAGCACACCTGCTCCAAAGTACAAAACCTCCTTCCAGAAAGGTCCAGGCACTATAGATATAGGAAATGCCGAGGTAGGCAGCCACAGGAACTGCAGGACACAAAGCCCTTGGAATCGCTTGCTGCACGCTGCTCCAGGCGTTCACGGCCGCAAAACCAGTGACGTGCCCTAGGAGCACAGCCCAGGCATGAGTGTTCAACCGGATCTGATGCCTCAGATGATTCCCAAAAGCGCCCTACAATTGCCGGGGTTTGCAAAAGTCACGGACTCTGCTCTGGCCGGCAAAGACAAAAGGCTTCAAGCAGGCCAAAGTTTCAAATGCTTCTCCGCGCACTCCAAGTGCACCGAGCGCAATGGGATGTCGCAGCTTGCTCGGGACAAGGCTGCACGCCTGGCGGCGGGAGCCTCCTGCTGTCCCACTGCTCCAGAATAGTATGCCAAGACGAGCTGAAGAACACAAAACCACAGCATCATATGCAGCATGTTCACAACCAGCTGATGCCAGCTTGAGACGTGATCGAGGAAGTAGTAGTGAACCACGCGATTGCAGCCCTGAAACATCAGCAAGGCTCCGAAAATGCTGGTTGTGGAGCTTATGATTTCCCAGGTGATCTGCTGGATATCATCATCTGGCCAATTTACCAAGTAGAAGGTGGCCATCATGAAGCCCATGCAACCCAGCAGCATCAGGGAGATGCACACATCCTCTCCTTCTTCAACCTGAGCTTCATGTCTCTACAGTGGAGGTGTCTGGAGACGCAGCAACACGGTGAAGACAAACAGGAACAGGGTCCTGGTGTACTTGTGAAGAAGTTGCGAGCAACCCGCTCAGGTTCTAAACAAATCACATGACACACAAATGATTCAAGTCCCTTGGAAGGTGCTCTGCTCAGCAACCCGGCTTCTTCTCTTTCTGGGGAAATGGCCAATTTGGGCCTTGGGGGCTTCGTGACCATCCCACACATCATGTCTGGCTGAGGCTGATCTGTGAAACACAGGACAAGGAAGCGTCCTTTGGGTCAGGCCACTTCCGGGTTCGCGACGGCTTGATGGACTCCCTCATCCAAAGGGTGAGGTATCTTGGACCTTGGACCATCTCTGTGAGCTATGGTCTGGTAAGCTGGCCTCTCCCATAAGGATCGGATTAGCTGTTCAACTCTAGGCTTGTAGACGTCCTAGCTGTGGCAGTGGCAGTCATGGTGGCAGTAGGTCTAGGAGCAGTAGTAGTAGCAGTAGTAGTAGCAGTAATTAGTAGAAGAAGTAGTGGTGGTAGTGGTGGTCGTAGTAGTGGCAGCGGCGGTGGCAACGGCAGTGGTCGTGGTAGCAGCCGTAGTCGTGGTATTTGTTGTAGTAACAACTGTACTAGGAGGATGAGTCGGGTGATGATGAGGACCTTCGTGATATTCTGACTCGCTATCACGATGGTTTCTTATACAAATCAACTAGATGTGCGGTATTGGGACTCAGGTCCAGCTAGAATATGCTCTACCAAGGATTTCTGGATGGTTTCAACTCTCGAGGCCCATCAGAGATACAGGGCTTTCATGTTGGGCCGTATTTTGAGTATTTGGGCCCTTATAGCCTTCAACTATGATTCGGGCTGTAACATGGGAGCCCTTCGATATGATGCAGGGAGCTTTCCTAAGGGTTCAGGGACGGAGCGCATTGTCTGAGAGCCTTGCCCGCCTGAACCCAGGAGTTTCGTTCACCTACAACCCAAAGCGAAGTTAATGTTCCGCGAAGGGACAAGGCCAGAGCCAACACCAGCGCTAGCAGTGCGAATCTTCGGCGTGCACGTGCCTGGGGCGCCCGCGCCGCCATGGCTTTGTCGCTGTGTGTGGGACTCTGAGAAGCACGCAAAGCCAGATACCATTCACAGTAGTTTTCGTTCCTCACTCTCCCGTGGATCGCAACTGTCCTTGCGAGGGCTGACGTCGTTGGACACTCTCCTTAAGATTCCGTTGCTGTTGCCCCCTTGCTCTTTAGAGTGAGACACTGACCTGTTCACATACGAAGCAGAAGAAGTGCTGCAGAGGAAGCGCTTGAAAGAAAGCCTTCACCGCCTCCGCCATGCCGACAGGCAAACGCATTCCTGCAGCCTGGGTTTCCGAACATAGGGGACCCGAGTATAGTACCCTAAATAGTAGGATCCTTCTTATAAGGACCCTCCACTCGGCTCTTATCCTTCCGAAGCTTCGGCTCTGCCGGCCTGGGCCCACGACCAGATGAGCTGCTCTTACATGGAGGTCTCACTGAGGGTCCTGCACAAACCGTTCGAGCATGCAGCTTCCACTTCGAAAAGGAGCACTGCACGCGACCAGTAGCACAGACGGGCAGCCGTGGCATTTTTGGCAACCGCCTGCGTTTTGGGTCCTGAGGTAAATGCCTCACCAACGTGGGCAACAAGTTCAAGCAAGGCAACAAAGTGTCCTGAAACTTTGGGCTACGAATCACTACACCAAACGGTGCAGCTTGCCAAAATCACTAAACTTGGGATATCCCACGGACCGCTCTCAGGCCCCCTCAGGGGTCGACGTCGTAAGGTACATCGTTCGCGCCGATGCGGGCATCTGCGACCTGCACGACTCTGAAGTGCTCCCAGGTCGCGTGAATTGTGATGTCCTCCACTGCAGCAGATTTCCCCTGCACCTTATCTTCAATCATCTGGAGGGCGCTGCCATGGGCTGTGTTGTGGAAAGCGAAGATACGGTTCGCGGGATCTACAGGAACCACGGCGAACTTCTCCGAGATGCTGGACTCGTTGAGCTCGCTGGCATCCGCATTGTTACCACCTTCCACATTGCCGTCGTCGGTCATCCTAAGGAAGCGGTTGTGGGCTACACTGTGGAGCGCCACCTGCCCGTTGCCAGCATCCACCACGGTGAACTGCTCATATTATGTCGCCCCCTGGGACAGGTCCGGACCCTGCTTCCCAGTCCCCCTCACCGTGGCTTCGGCACACATGGAGACGAAGCGGTTAAAGCCCACGCTGTGCAACGCAACGACGGAGCCGGGAACCAAGTACGGGTGCAAGTGCAGCACGTCAAAGCGCTCGATGCTCCAGTCATCCGGAAGGGGTGGGGCATGGACTGGGCTGGGCTCCACGGCCTGCTCCGACATCTTCAGGAAGCCGTTGGCAGCCTTGTTGTGCAGAGCGATCTTGCCAGTTCCTGCTTGGACCATGACAGTGAACTTCTCCGCTTTCCAATCGCTTCTCAGCCGGCTAGCTGCAGCTGGTGGGCGATGTTGGCCAAAGGAATCCTCCTTACCCCGCTCTGGTATGGCCCGAAGCCCAGAGACGTCTGCAGGTACAAGTCGTTGCCTTCAACGAGGTAGAGATCATCGGTATGTGCCTCGCTCTCCCTGGCTCTGATTGCCTGAAGAAATGCTGACCTCGCCATGGAATCGATGCCTGTTGAGCTCTCGCCTTCGGGAGGGCCAAACTGACTGCGCACGGCCTTGTAGCGCGGGTCCACGTTCAAGTTCTCCGCCGCCCCACTGGCGTAGCCAACACCAAAGGCGCTGCGCCAAGTCTGAAAACCCCCATTGATGTTCTCGTTCACAAAGTCCGTGAAATCTCCGAAGCGCTTCGCCAGGCGCAGCGTTCGGCTGAAAACCATCACGTTGCCACAGCTGATCTGCGAGCGCAGCACGCTGAGGTCCACCCCACCAGGCTGTCCATTGGGCCAGCAGACCATCGTGCTCAGTTGTGCCAAAGGATCAGGCAAGACTTTGAACTGAATGCCGCCGATCAGAGCGACCACGGGCTGAATGGCGATGTTGAAATTGACCGTGATGCACTTCTCCACTTGCGTGGGCCACGTGTAGAAGGAATACCCTTGCCACTTGTTCCAGTTTTGCTGCATCCAAGCATTACTGCAGGGCACGGCATAAGGCTCCAGCTGTAGGAAGTCGTCTTCGTTCTCCACCTGCCAGTCTGCCTCAGTCGCCTGCTGGTCAGTGCCAGTTCGCGTCCTCGGGGCGAAGGCTAGGCAGGATCCCGTTGACTTCTCCCTCCCGTTGAATTGGGTGATGAGCGAAGCGGTCTGAGGGCCATAGCCGCCTATTTGCCATCCGAATTCCGTCCACCTGTCGTCGCCACGTTCATGCCGAGACTGGGCCTTCTGCTGCAGGAACTCGGGCCTCTGCACATAGGTTTTGATCTCAAGGGTTGAGCTTGAGTGGTGTACGATCGGGCGGTCGCCGAGAGCTCCGAACTTGGAGTGGACAGCGGTCTGCAACAAAGTTGGGTTCTCCTCCATGGCCCTCTCCATCATCTTGTTACCGATCTGCACGAAGACTTCGACATAACGAGCCATGACCTCCTTCAGTCGCAACAGAAACTTAAGCCGGGACGTGTGCTCCAAAATCCTGAAGCCGAAGCATTCGAGCAGCTGATTGTGCGACTTCTTGTCGGTGCAGTCGTTCAGGGTCTCGCCAACAGTCGCCATGGTCTGTAGCGGACCAGGCATAAGCGCCAACGGGTTGCGTGAGAGCATTTGCAGCGGGCCCCTCAAATCCTCCGGCAGGAACTCGATGCTGGGCGCAGCTTGTGTGATCTGATAGGCCAGGCACTTCTTCATTCCGTCAGGGTTGCGGGCTTCTGCCCAGCCTGTCATCGCTCTACCGACTTCTAAGATGGAATCGATCGCCTCGGAAGGAAACTTGCCCAGCGTCTGCACAACCGCGCGACAGGCAAGAACTCGATCATGGGCCGGGCTTGGGCGATGTGATAGGCCAGGCACTTCTTCATCCCGTCCGAGTCGCGATCTTCTGCACAGCCTTCCATGGCTTTGCCGACTTCCAACATAAATTCAATCGCCCCTGAAGGAAATCTGTCCAGCGCCTGCACAGCCCCGTGCAACTTGGTAGGCAAGAAATCGATCATGGGCCGGGCATGGGCGATGTGCCAGGCCAGGCATGTCTTCATCCCGTCCGAGTTGCGGGTTTCTTTGCAGCTTTCCAAGGCTTTGCCGACCTCTAAGATGGATCTGAGGGCATCCGCGCTGTAGTCGGTCAGTGCTCCCAAGGGGCCGGGAAGAGGATACCTATGCGTGCCCAGATTTATGATGATCCAATTGCTGTTCCGACCCATCAAGTTGAGCCTGCAAGAGAATGATCCGAAATGTGTAACGAGGATGCCGGAGCTCACATATTGGCTTGGGCGACCTGGAGAGCACGTGAACTTAAACTTGTTGAAGCCTTTGGTCGACAGCGCCACGGCCTTCGCCGCGGTGTCAATGGCCGCATTGACAAAAAAAGCTCTATCTGCGCATCGATGCTATGGTGATCGAGCATATGCTGGTAGGAATTTGGCAACTGTGTGGCAGTGTCAACCCATTGTCCGTTCACAACTCTGGCACCAGCTTCAAACCAGCACCTGGGATTCCATTTGGGGCATCCGGTGCTGTGTTTCGAGGTTACTAATATTATTACATACTATTATTATTGTTATATTAATATTATGATTATGAATATATTATAGTCTAGGATTCTTGGCGTTTCTCGAGCAGCACCTGCTCGGGGCTCTTGCCTGCCTTCGGCTCGGGGGCTGCCTTGGATGGAAGTCCCGCGTCGTGAGCTGCTTGGAATGCTTCTTCACCACTCTCTCCATGGTTTCGTGAGTCTTCTTCAAGTGCATCTCGGGATCCTTCTGGGGGAGCTGGATCAAGCCCTCGTGGTCTTCGCCAAGAGTCGTATCATGCTCCTTGACCTTGAACCTGAGCGTCTCGATCTCGTATTGCTGCATCTCACAGAGCGTCTCCAGCTGAACCAGCATCATGAACTCCAGTTGCTTCGCCAATCCGCCGAAGCCGTCCGTCTCGTTGTCCTGGCCAGTCTTGTCCGTTGGATCGGGGATCTCCCTCAACTCCTGGACATCGTGCTGCAAGTTCTCCAGCACAATCTCATCCACCTGCTCGTTCACCGTCTCGTTGCAGCTGTTGACGAGGTGAATGGGGACGTCGGCGACCTTGCAGGACAAAGCCCTCAACCCCCAAGCAGAAGCACCAACCGGCATGAAGCTTCATAGCCGATTCTTCGTTGATAAAGACAAGACTGAGTCTCTTGAGCTGAAAGGCTTCGGATTTAGATTCGATCCTCCCGCCCAAGCTCCTACACACGAATGATGGCACGTCTTCTGCGAGCATCTTGAGCTGGCACAACTTGTAAACGTCTGGTACTTGTCGGACTCAAACGTGCCCCAAGGTCCTCATCGATGCTGGTCGCGACCTAGGCAACGCCTCGACGCCAAGTGCAGCGAATGCCTGCGCATATGAGGGAGATGTAGCAGCACTCAAGGCTTCCACTGGCTGCATGATCACGATACGATGTCTGTTGCCCAAGCAGAATTTGTCCCAGCACGATCCGGATGGCTAAACGATGGCAGGACGCATCTGACTGAATCTGACCTGCACAACTACTTAAAAGAGTACCTTGTTCAGTCGGCACCCAACCATCTCGAACGGTACGGTATTGCATGTCCTTCTGCGCAGCAATCACACACACACACACACACACACACACGCACACACACACACACACACACACAAGTGCACACGGCAACCTCACGAAACGAAACAACACGGATCATCTCGGGCCATCTCGGGCCGCATAATAGACTTCGTCTGAAGCTCTGAACCGGCCTTTGTGCCTCGGTATGCTTCCGTCCATCGGAAAGGCCCACCCAACAGCTATCATGTTTCTTGGGTTGCCTTTCTTTTGTGGCTTGGGGCCTTGCAACCTACGACTACGAAATCAATAAGGACTTATTATATGTACCGGCTCTGTTGCAGGCGAGTCATACATGCCATGCATGTGATGCATGTGGTTCGGCAGGCTCGGAGCATCGAGCCGAAGGTGCTCAACACGAGCCTGAAAGCACAGCCTCGGCTCGGCCTCAGACACCCTGCAACGACGCAGCTCCATATTGGAAGAGGGCAGCAGGGCTCCCTGCTCAGGAAGTTGCTTCCAACCCGATACCGAGCGTCAGCTGAATCCGGATTCCAGACGAACTGCGTCCGATCGAATGCGTCCCTCTTCTCTTGCGCAGGCTGCTCGATGGGTCAGCGGCCCAAAGCCACAAAAGCTTTGCCGACATTGCCATTATGTTCATGAAACGGCGCAACTTGCCTGTACATGGGTTTGCGCCCGCTTTCTTGCCAGGACATTCAGGCCGCAGCGCGCACTGTTTGTTTTGACTCCTGCCAAAGCCTTGGCTGTGCAGCCGTGGAGCAAATACAGCAAACACATCCATTGTGGCATCTACTAAAGCAGCCTGTGTTGCATCGGCATCACAGTCACATGCTGAGAGGGATTCTGCTTCACACGAAGTATGACGCAGGGGATTCATAAAGAGTTGACACCCTCAGCAACCGTGGGATCCCAAACAGACCCACATGTTAGAGCCCTGTCGATTCGGCCACCGTCCAGCCAGGGGGCTTTTCCGCAAATGGCTTCAGCCAGCTTGTGGCACGTTTGAGACACTTCCTTCGCTAGCAAAATCAAGTCAAGTCAGGTGGAGAAGTTTGAGGGGCAACGAATCTGGAGTCACGAGTCGCGCACATGCAAATGATCTGAAAGAAAAACTGTTCCTGCAATTTCACAGGCCCCAGTTCTGATGCAGTAAACGACCAAATCCACACCCAGCCGAAGGTACACCGAGCATTCACGGCTCGGCATTTGCAACCAAGCCTCCGGGCTCCATACTCTACAAGCCACTCGGGCATCAACTTGGAAGCATGCGCGTAGACCTGGGCAACTCTCGACTCCACATGTGGGAGGTTTCGAAATTAGGGGTACCACATTTTTTGGGGGTCCTTATAATAAGGATCCTACTATTTCGGCGCTCACACTCGATCCCACTATTTAAGGTACTATGTTAGCGGCCCTTGTGTTCGGAAACTCCCATGTCGCAATGTGAATGGCGACTGCTCGACTGGATGGGGTAAAAGGATGTTTGGAAGCGCATTGCCCCGTAAGTTCCGAGACACCTTCACGCAAGAGCTGAGCTCAGAGCACGGAAAACCACGCGGCATTCTCCCGGGTTCTGCCGGCACGGCACGACTTGCCAGAAACCGGAGGCCTGCAAAGTGAGTCGCAGGGCCTTTCGTCTGACGCCAAGCTGATGATGTGCGTGATGCACAGGATTTCTTTTCGACTAGGGTTTTAGACGAAAAAGGTATAATATAGTATGCTCTTGCAACGAGGAAGAAAGAATTTACGTGACATCTGGGTGCGGCCAGCCTCTCGAAGCACAAGGCCTGTCGCATCTGGATCTATGTCGAAGCTTATTCGACCGCGCCGCTGGTCCACATGGTGCACCTGAAGATCCGGGAAAGCACACCCAACACCCCGATGTCTCGGATGCCTGCTTTTGCAGAAGGATCCCGGACTTTCAATCAGCGGACGACTGACTGAACTCTTCTCTTCAACCTCGTCAAATTCTGGGCACCCGGACCGCAGGAATCTCGAACCAGAATCGCCTGGGTTCACGAAACGGCTGAAAGTTGATGCTGAAGCGAACACTCAGAAAAATAGCCACGCAGCTTCCCAAAGCCTTGAAGCCTTGAAGCGAAAGGCAGCTTCTCAGCAGAGGCGCGTGATTCTGTAGGTGCACTTGGCGACTAGTGCAGCATCTGCTGCTGGCGACGTGGAGTTCACTTCTGCTGCACGGATGGCAGACATCATGTCAGGGTACTGCCTCAGATATGCAACTTGACAGCTGATTGATCGGCTACGTAACGAGTTTCAAATCTTGCCCATTGTGGATCGAAGGCCGGAGAGTGCCAGATCTTCTCCCTTGCAGCCTGTAAGTCCCTGGCCGGAAGTTGCACAAACAACGCAACACCACATGATCTGGAGCTCGGACATTGATCCGCACCAGACCCCATCCTGCCAAGCGACCGGAAAGCTGAAGCTCCCTTTGGCAAACTCCGAATCCCCAGAGCCATGAAGCGCTCATGCCCAGCTCTTTTTCAAAAGCGGGGGGTCCTCGATTGCCAAGCTGCCTTGGTATCCGACACTCGGCAGCCAAGACTGAAGACGGGCGGCGAAATGCACCAGGCCCATGCCCGAAATGCCCTCGACCTGCCGGAGTCCGCAGACAGCCAAGTTGCGCCTGCTTCTGGACGCGGCCGGCATCTCGGAGCACTTCATGCTCATCTGCAGTCAGGTCCCACAGCTGCCTGGCGCAGCGTGCAGTAACCCACTTCATGCCTCGCTTTAGCTGATAACACATGAATCTAGTTGAAAGAATGACAAATGAAACCATTCTGGCCACTTAGAGAAGCAAAAACCAGAAGAAACCCCGAAGAGCTACTGAAGTTATGTGATTCAAGAGAAGCACTGTTGAGCAACTTATGTGTTAGTTACTGTTAATTGAAGCCTTGACGTTTTAGTTTCCATTGTATGTGATTTCAAAGCCAATCTGCATTCAAACAAAGTGCATTATCCAAGCTCCAGATTCGACATGATGAAAATTCAAAAAAGAGGCACGATTGGCAGGACGGCCCAGCAGTAACAATCGATGCCTGCAGTCCCTAACCCTTTCTTTTGCAGTCTGGGCCTTGGGAAGTTCTTCGCTTCCAGCCAAGCATCGCCCCTGCCATTCACATGGGCCGTGCAGCGGCTATGAAATGAGGTCAACATGTTCGGACAGCAACCTCGTAGCTGCAGCTGTTGTAGCAATGGTAGTAGTATTAGTAGTAGTAGTAGTAGTAGTAGTAGTAGTAGTAGCAGCAGCAGCAGTAGTAGCAGCAGCAGCAGTAGTAGCAGCAGTAGTAATAGTAGAAGCAGCAGCAGCAAGAGTAGGAGTAGTAGTATAAGTAGCAGAAGCAGTAAGAGTAGAAGTAGTAGTAGTAGTAGTAGCAGCAGTAGTAGTAGTAGTAGTATTTGTCGTCGTGGTAGTAGTAGTCGTCGTCGTCGTGCTGGTGGTGGTGGTGGTGGTGGTGGTGGTGGTGGTGGTGGTGGTGGTGGTGGTGGTGGTGGTGGTGGTGGTGGTGGTGGTGGTGGTGGTGGTGGTGGTGGTGGTGGTGGTGGTGGTTAGTAGCATTTAGTAGTAGTACCACAACTGCGAGTACTGCTGCTACTCCAACTACTACTACGACCACTACCACGACGACGACGACGACTGCTACTGCGTACGAGTGTCGCTGCTACTGATACTGCTGCTTCTGCTGTTGCTATGCGATTTTCGATTCTGGATGTTGTCGAAATGCGATGGGTCGTGTTCGGGGATAGTCCAGACGCCCGAGCTATGCAAGCACACGAACTGCCGGAACTCGTCATCCCCCTTCCCTAGCAGAACCACTTGGCTCTGAAGGAGAAACATAAGCAGTAAATTCCTCGACTAGAAACAACAGAAGTCTCAATCCCCGGCCATTGCTCTTGCAAGTATAGAAAATGCGAAAGGCCTCATGTTCTGGGCACACGCCCGACGAGTTCGTCGAGCTCGCCGAAGGACAGGCGGACAGGAGACCAACGCGGCCTCGAGATCTTTTGCGCATCTTCCGGGCAAGACCTACTAAGATCTTCTCAGAAGTGGCACAATTGGACGCTGAGGATGGGTATACGACTATGCAACCACATTTGGGCCTGTGCGCCTGCAGGCTGGGGCATTCTGTCAGTACGTCTGATCGCCCCAAGTATGCTGCACAAAACCTTTCACGTGTTATTCTTTCTATCGCAACACGTTCGCGGACATGTTGCTTCACATGGTAAAACCGAGGCAGAAAAAACCAAAGATGTGGGTGGGTGGGTGGGTGGGCGGGTTGGTCAGGGTGAAATCAAGTCGATCACAAATGCAGTTGAGTTGCAGCGATGACCCATGCTTTACTGTGCGAGGCCATGGAACCTGAGTCTGCAGCTTGGCAGCTTGTCTTAGCCGTCACTCACAAGACGGCAGCGGCATGCAGATCATGTGTCAAACAGTACACGGACAGGTGACAACATGCTGTCCGGATGCTGGATGCTTCGCCACTCGCTGGCTCAGCTCGCAAGACCGGCTGCATGTTCCGAGCGCGACTGCTTCCTGTTGTCGGGGGGTGCTACCAAGTAGTGAAGCGCCGCAACCTGCCACTCCCCTGGAGGAACCGAGCTTGCCGGCTGCTCTAGCTCAGTGCGGCGAGGCCATGCGTTTATCACCATTTCCGCTCGTTGCTCTTGCTGCCAGAGGATTTTGATCACCATTTCGACACGCACACTCGCACGAGGCAGGCAAGGATTCGTGTCGGGGTTTGCTACATCAACATCGCTACAATGCTTATCACATTGAAGATCGCTCCTCGGCAGACATGGAGGTTCTCCAGAGCCGCCGCACAGGCGAGCATCGCGCAAGCTAAGCTATGGGAGCGCTTCTCCGAAGAACACAAATCAGTTGAAGCCTTTACTTTCTCCGTTCGGCACCATGTGGAATAGGCTTTACAATCCATGTAGATACTGTATGCGCGCGCAGAGGCCGGATCTAAAGTGCCGATTTCTGCCGGCTGTTCGGTACACCTGCCTACGCAAAAGAATGCGGTCTTTAATTACAGTCCTCTAAAGCTTGCTCCGCAGCTTGGTCCATTTCTCGAGTCGACCTCAACACGTCATGCACCAGACGACCAGAGACTGCCAGACGTATGGCAGTGGAAAAGGACTCTTTGCGATTTACGGCAAAGTCTAAGTTGTCCTTTGTTGCATAGTTGATTCTACAGTGTTGGCTTCATGAAACAAACAAAACAAATTGAAACTTGGAAACCACTTCATGCTCCTTAACGGGCAGCTCCAGCCGCATCCTATCCCGTTGAAAAGAGAAAGTGCAGGGAAAGCAAATGGATACATCGAATTGCCCGAAACATGTGTCAAGAGAGTCTGTGGTTCAGACTCCCTACCACCTGACTAACTGGTACTTACGATCTTTCGCTGTCCATTCAGCTTCAGCATCGCCGCGCGATTTTCGCTCTGAATATTACTGGAATGCGCCTGCGCGTTCTACAGTATGTAAATACATGTATATGTGTGTGTGCAGAATTGTAGAGACAAACTATTATATGTATATATATATATGTACGGTATACATACAAGATGTCTATATTTACATATATTTACATACACATGCGTGTGTAGATATACATGTGCTACCTACGGAGGCCCACTTACTTGCTCGGGGTGTGAGCTGCAGGCAGTCCGTGCAGCCCACTCACTTTCCCTCTCTCGCTCGCTTTCTTTTCTCTCACCAGGCTTGAAGGCGCACCTTCGTGGGAGACGCCTGTTGGTTGGAGGTAAGCGAGGTGTTTTCCGCAACATCACCCCGACTTTTTAAATAACACGACACATGAGAAATACCAACAGGGTGAAGATTTGCCTGGTCAGGAGTTGTACTGGCAGGTGTTCTGCTCACCCGTGTTCTGGCCCTTCATCCCGGCCACACAATTGCTTCACAAAAGGATGGGCTGGGTGCGCAGGTGTTTCAAACAGCAGTCAGCAATACGACCGATAGCCAACAGGTACATGCCACTTCCCGCCATCTTGCCATCGGCGGCGGTCTGTCTGTAGGCTCTCTTTCTTTCCCCAGGCTTGAGGGCATGCCTCCGCGGGAGCAGCCCGTCTGCAGGCTCTCTCTCTCTCTCGCTCCCTCTCTCTGCCGTGAAGCAGCCGATGATGAGCAAGCAGCACTTCGTCAGAGGCAACAGTCCGACCATTTTCGCGCGAGTCACTCACTGCAGCGGAGTTGCGTCGACCGCGGTGCGATCGTCCCTCCGCGCGAGTCCATGTCCCGTGTCCACACCAAACAGAAAGGTTGCCTTCGAAAGTGAATGCGAAACCGTGCAACGAGTTGGGTTCTGGTTGCAGTGGCGATGAGTGCTTTGGGCAGCCATCATCAAAAAGTCGTCCGAAGTATGCTCGTGAATTCCTCTACAGTAGCAGGCCATGCAAACAGGTACCTCCAGTTGAATCCCCTAGTTTTGAAAACTCCTCCTACGCACACTGCACCATGAAGTTGTCGAGCAAGCACGCAGGATGCCCTGATCAGAATGAATTGACCGAAAATGCACCATTACCTCTCCGCCTTAACATTCACGTCAAAATATGAAACAAACGGTGTTGGACATGGAGGTGAAACTCTGGCATAGTCTACCTGGGAGAAAGCCCGTTTTTCCAGACCGACAGTCTGCAAACCTCGTGTCAAACAGGAGCTGTAGTCATGGTCAACTCCCTTAGTAAATCTTAGTAAATGAGGGCATGATGCGCCGTAGGAAAAAGAAAGGGCTTCCTCGCGAAGTCTGCTCCACTTACCCACTACAGGGTTTCAAGTTGCGTGGTAAGTACGACCGGGACTTCGTCCGTAGTCGTAAGTTCCGCCAAGGGATGGTCTGACAAGACACCACGCCCTACATCCATTTTTGTACTACTTAACTCTGACTCTACCTGATAACCCGAATCGCACTTCAGCTTTTCGAAGTTCGAAGTAGCCACATCACGCACAACAAACGAGAGGCTCACAACGTGGAAAATAGGCAGCGGGACACATGGCACTCCTTCTCCCACTCCAGGCTTTGGTTTCTTTGAAGGCGCACTCCACTATGCTCACTAGGCAGAGCGACATCCTTCAGCTTTCGGGTCGGGGGAGAGTGATGTTCCAACGGTGGCTTCGGTCCTGTCTTGCAGGTTGTCAGAGCTCCCTTCATCCGGCCGGAAAGAGGTATCAATGCAGTCCAGCAGACGGAACGCACCGGACATGCAATTGAGCTGCATGGAGTTGCAAACACCTTTGAAGAAGTATCCCTGGATGCAGCTGCACAGGATTGCAGCATGCATGGTCCGTGGCTCGGTCTTGGCTGATCTGAAACTGTTCTGCGAAAAAAAGTTTGCCTCGGCTGGGAGGGTTCAGCGATGAGCTGCCGGAAAGCTCTAAACACGGCTTCGGTTTTGCCATAGTTTGGGGTTCCCGGTGCTCTTTACTATACTGAACTTAGTATAACAATAACCAAAAATTATACAAATTATTCTACGTACCCCCTAAGTTTAGACCTCGTTTTAACACAAAGAGCCCGGAGCCCCTCCCATCCAGCGATGGCCCTTTGTCCATACTCGGAGTTCCACTCGTCGTCACAATGAAGACTCCGGGCCGCAGCGGCATCCCAGCGGGAAAGTTGCAAGAATTTACATCAACAGCTAGTGGCTTTGAGGTTTTATATCAAAATTATACAACCAATATACTAGAACATACTACAGTGGTTTTTAGGTTTTGGTATAAGTCTATGCAGCTGTTCTTCGCTGCTCGATTCTTCCTCCGATCTTACCTGATCGGAACCCAGGCCTTCATGACGGCATAACTGCCAGCAACCATCTTGCCCTGCTGAACACCCTGCACCCTCACAGCGCAGCAAGCACTCCGTGCTAAAGGGCGCTGATCGAGTTCAACTAGCGAGAATCATTAGCTCTTGGCTGTGGCTAGCAAGTCCAAGTAAGGCTTTCCAGATCGCGCAGCAATCTGCCTGGCACCTCCTTTGCCTGGATTGTAGTACAGCGCTACAGGAACTTACAATGACGGGATACAGGAAGCATGCCGACATAGATCCGTAACAAACACAATGCTACCAGTGACCTCCGTGCGCGTATGAAACATCCCATGAAGCCAAATTTGAAAGACTGGCTCTCCGTACTGCTCACAGCACGACTCGTGAGAACATCAACCACATAACAAGTATGACAATGAAACCGGCCAAGACTAAGGTAAAATGACAATGATGGTGCGCGTGTAGAAGTTGTGAACTTGACGAGGTTGAACATGCACACGACTTGTCTGGATGAGAAGAAGCAGGAATGACGAGAGACATCAGAACAGCAAGAAACTATCAGTGGCATGCTGCCAAGCCTTTCGCTAATGATTCCCCGACTGCTCCCTCAGTCCTGTCCCACATCAGTGGGCTTCCTAAACACGTGAGACCAGGGAAGCAGAAGCACCTGCAGGCTAGGACGAACCTACGATGCGATTTTATAGATTGCTTGAATCCGACCGAGTCTTTCCAAAAGCGCAGTGCAGGCCTTGCGCCATTTGTGCTCCGTCCACACGGCCAGGTGATTTACTCCTCGCCGCTGACTTACAAGTGCAAGAGACTGTAATCGAAGAAGCCTCTCACCAACAGATCCATGTAAAGAACTTGTGAAGTCGGCCTGCTTCGCAGGGGCGTTGGGCGTTTTTGCACCCGCTGCGGCCTCAAAGGAGCTCATACAAGCTCTGTGCTGCACTGGCTGCACTTTGTCGGGACGTCTCGAAGTCGAAGACCCTTGGGCTCTGGCACACCAGAGCCAGTTATTGTGCAACACTCCGGCCTCAGCTTCGTCTGCGAACCACTGCAGGATGCTCTGGATAGCTCGAACAAGATTTTAAGATTTTGGCCAGCTCCCTTTGGACTCCATCTGGCTGATTTTAAGCTTCCAGCAGCAGCTTACCCGTGTCACCGCGCGGCATTCGCAAGGGATGCTCGGGGGGTCCTCCGTCACTGTGCTACAGTTGGCTCGCTATCTCGATGGGCCAGAGCGGAACTCAAGCAAACCATGCAGAAACAGCGCTCCTGGTATCCGTGACTCTGCCTCAAGGTGCGTGGAATTGGATTGGGTAACCCGCCGCAAGAAAGCGCTACCTTACTAACCTTGACCAAACAAGCACTCATGCGCTGGATGTGTGAACGCATACGCGCACCGGAGCTTGCTGCCAGCAACTACGTTCACGCAATAGTGGTTCCTGCCGATTCTGATCGACGGTATGATGAACCAAGGCGCTTCGGCAGCTGTAGCGTTGGGCTTCCACCCCCTTGGTGTTCGCTGGTTCTAGACGCAGCTTGCAAGACTTTGTCCGACGTACTTGCAGCGAACGTGAGACTGAACGATCCTGACAGAGCCCGCGAACCTTTCAGTCTGGCAGAAGCTGAAATGACGCACCAACATACACCAACGAATCTGTTGCAGCCTCCACCGATGGTGTGATACTCCTGGGCGCCTCACTCTGAAATCGCCGGCCTGTGAAAGCCAAAACGAAACCAACACGGATCAGAAGGACAAGGGCTCGGTGGCTCAGGCAGTGAAGTCATACGAATACACGCACAAAGTCAGCATGGGATGTATTAAATGCATCCACACATACATGCGTACATACAAACATACATGCGTACATACATACAGACATAAATACGTACATACATACATACATACATAGGAACATACATACATGCATACATACAGACATGCAGGTACATACATAACTACATACATGCATACATACACGCAAACAAAACTACATACATACACTTGAACTGATATTACTATATAATTATGCATGTGTATGTATATATATATACATATATATATATATATATATATGTGTGTGTGTGTGTGTGCGTGTGTATACATTGTTGGCCGTGCCTCTATGTATATACATACTCATGTTGATGATATGAACATTATACCAATCGAATGAACTCATATATGTATGCAGACATGTGTATACATCTGTGTATATATGTATGTATGTATATATATATATGTATACATATAGAATTTACGTATACATATATATATATATATATATATGGTACCCCCCCCCCCCCGAGTTATCCACGCTTTTTGGGGTAGATCCTGTCCATGTTGCCCTTGACCCCTCATTATTCAAGCATCTGTAGTCTGTATCCATGTACGTGCACACTCCGAGCCTTATTGCATGTGCAGTACTAACGCACGAGCACACGATGCTAGAACACATTGTCTTTGCACAACCCTGACAGACGGAGGATTGAAGTTCAATGCCGCGGATTGAACTTCAATACCCCGCAATCAACTTCCATGCAATTGCCTACTAAACGTAGCCTCCTGCCTCGCAGCCTTCGCGATTCTCAGCGCCCGTGCATCCTCCCATTCGTGCCGTTCCTCATGGCCGGTATGCACGTCTCCGGAGTCGTGTCGTTCGAGGAAGGTGCCGCACATCTCCGCCTGGTGCCGACCAATCCCAACACGACGCCACCTCCGGCTACGCCGACAGCGACAAGGGTGCCCTGGCCAGCTTCCAACATCCGGTGCGACGACAAGATCCATGAAGCCATCATGGATGGGAAAGCCTTCATCCACCCCACTCGTGATCCCATGACGAAGAAGACGTTGCAGGTCGCCATGAACAATATTCAACGTGCACTCTCTTTGAAAGTTGGGGCCAATGGTGGTTGGAGCGTAGAAGCTGACTTGCGGCTTCTTCGGCTTTTGGCCTCCAGCAAGAAGCCTTATGCCAAAGGAAACCACATCAAGGATGCCGACAAACTCCTGGCCATCAAAGACAAGCCGGCGGAAGATGATGGTGAACACGACGATGATATGGAACAGACGAACTCCGACACACACGTCCCCGAGCCCATCGACAACGACGATGTTCTGGAACAGACGAACTCCGACGCACACGTCCCCGAGCCCATCGGCAACATCATCGACAACAGCGGTCAGAACAACCCGGGAGAGGAGGCCCAGACCATGGACGTCGATGGTGCAAGTTCGAGTTCCTCCAGCTCAAGCTCAAGCTCCTCTTCCACACATAAGAGCGCATTGCGCCGCCGAGTGCGTCACCTTAAGAGCATGCTGGAAGATGTGACGCAGGACCTGTGGGCGGCGAACGAAGCCCTCGGCCTGAACGTGTAAGTCTTTGCAGTGGCGACTGTGCAGTCCCACCACAGCAAGCATCGCGTTGGCACCACGCGAAAAATACTCTCGCCAGTAGCCAGCTGCTTTTGTGATGTGCAAGGGAAAGCCGCATGGACATGAGTATACAGCACCGAGCGTGTACAGACAGGTTACACACACAGAGACGCGCATAGGTGCATATGTAACCACGAAATGAATTCTTGTCTTCGTATGCATTTGCCACGCAGTGGATCAGGGTCTCTGACTTGTCATTCCTCTGCTGCGTCCTCGGCTTCATCGTCGTCGTCTTCCAGGGCAACACTCAACCATGACAGGCAAAATTATGGACGAAGGCATTGCGTCAGTAGGGGGTCGCAACTTCCAGGTGCGAATGCTGGCCGAGCCCGACGTCTTCACGAAGGACTCGGCCGATCAGTTCTCGATCCCAGACTTCTTGGCGGGTGTCTGTCGCCCTTTGGATACTAAGGACGTCAAATCTGCATCCGTCATCGTCGATGCCCACGTAGGCATTACGGAATGCGGCAGCGCCAACACCATTGGAAACCATGTTGCGATAGGCGATTTAGGCCAACTACCTCTTCCCCTCCGATTTCCCACCATCCCGCCGGAAACGAGCAAAGTCGACATCATCATCCAGAACATGAGTGACGGCTGCTGGAATGTGATCAAAGTCATATACCTTGAAAAGTCCATTTCCTCGGCTGCAGCTTTGTCCATGTGCAGCGGGAAACCCTTCGTGCCGGTGTTCCGCAACGGGCCTCATGCTATAAAGAAGGCTTTCCAGTGGGCGTTGGCAAGGGTGCGTGGACATCATGTGCACTGGCACAAACTAGAAGACAAGTCGCAGGACACCTTGCACAAATCATCATCCAACCTGTGGTCGCCGGAGAATGACGAGCTTGCTGAGGGCATTCGCTACATCAACACCTTCGCTCCTGACTGCGACGCTCTCAATCAGCAGACATACTGGATCTTGACCAACATCAAGCCAGACTCCGGTACCCCCTTGGCAGGTTGGCCAGAAATCAAAGTCAGGAGCATGTGCCAAAACAAGTCCCGTGGTGTTTCCGGGTCCGTTCCCATGACTGAGTTCCCGCTGACGACTTCCAGCCTTAACGTCACCTTCGCGGAGCACATTCTGCCACTGGTATACCCCCTCCTCTTGAGCGCGGCCATCATCATGGTCGGGAATCCAGGAGTCGGCAAGACGCCGGCCATCATCGCCATGGCCATGGCCATCGGACGCTACCACGTCCGACGCCTGGGTCTACACGGAGCAAAGCCTGGCTGGAGACGAGGGAAATCTCTTGACAACTTTAGGCAGAGATCGCCTCAGATCCAGGAAGCACTTTTCTTGGACGACCCTTCAGGGCGACGCCTGGACATGGCCGACCTGAAGTCTTTTGTCACGACCGATGAAGACGGCACTGTAAGCGGCCGCTACAACGACGCTCGCCTGACGCGCAATCAATTCAGGGCTCTGGCCTCCAACGACACAGGCGATGAACCTGCAGGCGTTCTACCAGCAGACACGACTCTCGACCCCGAGGCCTTCATCAAACTCCTTGGTCCTCTTTTTGCCGACGCCCATAAGAAGGACATACTTGCAGTTCTGAAGAGATGCACTACATTCGCGTTCACAGATTCTGCCTTGTATCTCCGCCTGCCCTCTGAACGCCCGGATGCTATAGTCCACCGAATCAGCAAGGGCGACATCCAGAAGGATCTGCTGGCCGAGAAAGACAAGCCCCACTACAACACTTACAAGAATGGCTTGACAGTCTACACCGCCACTTATGCAGCTGAAGTGGAGCGAGAGCAGGCCATGATCGACGAGCGTGCAGATTACATGGCTAGCTTCCCCAATGTCAAGAACTACATCCAGGATTGCAACAACACCCTGCAGACATGGCTTCGCCCTGTTCGCGTTCTTCCAGACTCGCCTGAATCGCCTCAGCAGACTGGGGAACAAGCAGCAGGTGACCTTCGCCTCTCACTGTACATTGGCACCGGACCCAAACCTAATCGGGTGGACCGCGCCTCGTTCAACATTCCAAATCCCTCTGCAAGCAAAGCTCGCAGAATCCGTGGTAAGTCTCCCGTTCCCGAGACCGCCTCCGCTTCGTCAGCGCCCTTGTGTCCGGATGAACAGGAGACACTCGTGCGAGCAATGGATCCGGACGAAGAGGCCGCCCTTGCCATGCATGACCAGTGACCTGAGCAGAGGAGTAGCCAGCGCGGCTGCGGTAGAATAAACCCAATGGACTTCCGGGCGAGTATAGACCAATGGTCTTGTCTTGACGTGCCCGGTGGTAGTTTTGACATCTCTCTATCGGCGAGCCGAATGCAAAATAATTGCTCGCATCGGTTGCTGTGGGTTGCACTTCCCGCGTCTTGCAGGCACTGCTTCCTCTATCTGATCGTCGCGTCTTTCCGATGTATATGCTGGAAGCAGCAGTCTTAGCGCCTAGACTCCTAGACACTGTGGACCAGTGTAGGACCTCGGGTTGACACGCCATGGGGAAGCAGTTGCCGAGCAAGAAGCCTTCCGCCATCTTTCCTTGTGCGAAGAAGGGGAAGACCAGGCTCCTTCTCAAGACCAACTTGACCAAGAAGCCCGTCGGCCAAAGCTCCCAGACCAAACTGTGGCAGAAGGTCCCCTACGTTCGCGACGGCTGCGTGCTCCGCATGGACCGCATGAAATGGAAGCGAAATCTAAAGGATTTGCTCAACGCGGACGAGGATCGCATGGTGAAGATCCTTACCGAAGATGGATTCTTGCCAGATTGGAGCAAGATGAAATGCCCGTTCTGCAACAAGAGTGCAGTGTCCACGCTCCAGAAGCGCGATGGGCTTCCACCGCGGTACCGGTGCCGCAACAGGAACTGCCACAAGTTCATCTTGCCACATCATCTTCATCCCGTGTTCACTTCCGCCAAAGGGTCAGAAGGACACTCTCTTGCCGTGCAAGGCTGTGCTCTACTCCTGCGGCTTGCCGGCGTCCCGCTTTCCAGCATCCACATTCTGCTGGATATGAACCACAAGGCCATCGAACGTATTGAGAAGGGCCTAGCCTTCACCCGTAAGGCATACGTCGAAGCTCACCAGAGGTCTATGACCTTTGGAAACCCGAAGGGCAAGAAGTGGACGGAGGTAGAGGCAGACGAGGCAGTGTTCGACAAAATGCTTGTTCCAGCAGAAGATTCGCCTGTGCGAGGCAGCAAGATCAAATGGGAGCAGTGGCTCGGCATGGTCGTCCGCGGCAAGCCGTCGTCGTTGGTCTTGCTCCGATTGCCCTGCGTGAGCACACGCAAGAGAGCGCCAGGCCCGGGCGCCATCAAGAAAGTGCATTGGACGAAGATCGCCAATACCTGGCTCAAGGGCCGCAACATCATACTCCACACCGATAGCGCTCGGAGTTACAAGGCCAAGGTGGCAGGAGTTCTCCATGACGCCGTGGTCCATCAGAAGAAGCGTGTGTGGAAAGGTGGGAAATGGATTTGGAAGCCTCCTACCTTTGTGCGCCTCGCCAAGCACAGACTCCCTGATGGCCGCAAGCTCACTTTGAAAGCAGGAACTCAGGTGGTGGATCGTGCGTGGCGGTTCATCAAAGATCGCCTCAAGATTAACCAGAACGTGAAATGCAATTCCACCCTTCTGCAGGCGAAGATACGCTCCGCTCAATTTGAGTATTGGCAGAGAGGCAAGGATGCTTGGGCCAGCACCGGGGAGCTCTTCACATGGTACATGAGCAACATCACGGAGAAGTTCTGAGATGCACAGCCACTAGGGCCAATCCAGGAAGAGCCTGTCGCAGGCCGAGGACGCAATTTTGACGGAATCACACGCTTTCGCTGCCTCTAACACACAAAAGCCGGATGCTCATGACATCTTGTTCTTTCTCTCGGTCTGCCGCGCATTCAATTGAACGAGAAGCCACATACCCACCCATGTCATCTAGAGGACACAAATACCACAATGCCTGGGGCCTCTGTTCATGTGTGGTGATGTATCCTCGTATGGTGAAGTCTGCAAGATTGCGTGTTGCATAGCGAAACTGCGAATGGCCCATTGCTGCCGTCATATCTTATCTGCTGGGTTATGGCTGCGTGTGGGAGGACCCCACGTAGAGCGGGCGGGTGCGAGAGCAGGCATGGCTATGCTCCGCACCGCGGCCCGGGAAAGGATCAACACGAGGCTGCGTGTGGGAGGACCCCACGTAGAGCGGGCGGGTGCGAGAGCAGGCATGGCTGTGCTCCGCACCGCGGCCCGGGAAAGGATCAACACGAGGCTGCGTGTGGGAGGACCCCACGTAGAGCGGGCGGGTGCGAGAGCAGGCATGGCTGTGCTCCGCACCGCGGCCCGGGAAAGGATCAACACGAGGCTGCGTGTGGGAGGACCCCACGTAGAACGGGCGGGTGCGAGAGCAGGCATGGCTGTGCTCCGCACCGCGGCCCGCCAAACGGACCTTTCGGTCCAAACTCCTCCCTCGCCCCCAAAACGGGTGGATAACCCGGGGGGGGGGTAGCATATATATATATATATATATATATATATATATATATATATATGTGTGTGTGTGTGTGTGTGTATATATATATATATAAGAACGGCATGCATGCATGAGCGCATGCATGTTATGCTTGCATGTCTACACTGCTTGTACAAACTGCCCACCTGGCGAAACCGTTCAAGCCATCCTTGGTGCGATGAACGGAGCTGTTGAACTGCGACAGAGTGCAAGCCGCACCTGACACTGTACATTTTTGCTATGACATCTGGAGATTCTGGTGCATCCTGAGAAGTGTCTGGACATGTCTGGACAACTCTGAGCGTAGAGCTCCGTTGACTCCTGCAGGCAGGTGCGCTGCGAATCACTCGCTTGATGGAAGCTAGACTAATTATGCAAGGCAGAAACCTGACAACCAGGACGGTGGGTGCAATGCTGGCATAACCCTGCGCCTGAACCCCAAGCCCTAAACTCTACGTCTTCGCGAACCCCACCGGCCGACGTTGCTTGGCACTAGTCGGCCTGAGCCTTGCCAGTGTGAGCTGCTGCTTATCAGACCTCAACAGCAAGGCATCGCAAGAAAAGGGTTTAGGGTTTAGGGCTTCCTGAAAGGATAATGGAAGAGCCACACATGCAGAAAAGCTCCGATCAGAACATCAAAACCAAGCAGACCAGGAATGGAGATTCTCCTACAGTCAAGAACAACATACCACATCACGCAATACTTTGACCGTTAACATATAAGGAAAACACATTAATGCACAATGGCCACGTAGTGTGTGTTTCAACGCTTGGCCCCGGACGCTCCAGCTGTTGCTCGATGCGGTCTAGTCGCTGCAGAACCTCATCATGAACCAAGCTAACCAGTTGCTCGGCCACTTGTACGATTTCAGTTTTGATGTGTGTGTAACAATGCATGGCGCCAAAACTTCGTAGAAATCTTTGGGAAGTTCTGAGAATGAACGAGGAGGTGATACATGCAGTGAGCACCTCCGCAAGCATGAGACGTGTAAGAAGTTCAAAAATCGTGGCCGAGGAAGGGTCGGCAGTGGAATCCGCTGGCTTGGATGGCACTGACGAGTCTTTCGACGAACTCCTGTCAGCAGCGACATGTCTCGCGAAAATTGCCCTCACATCGATCTTTGCAGCTCCTCCGATGTGGAAACCTATTGAAATCAGGTTCGTCTTCTTCGTCACCGGTCCTCCTTGGGATACCTCTAGCGCCAGTTGCAGTCTGCACATTGCTGTAGATCTCCTGGCAGACGATGCCAAAAGAGAAACTCACGCGATGTCCACAAAAGAGCATGGGGCCGAACATTGCAAAGACAGTAGTGCAGGATGGGCATAGCGGCAGCATGAGTAGAACAAGTAGTCGCCGTCGTCGCCACACTCGACGTCACAGTCGATGTAGTAGGACTGCTAGGATTGCTAGTAACAGTACAGGACTACTCGTACTAGTACTCAGTCGTTTGAGTAGTCGTGGTCGTAGTAGTAGGCGGAGCAGGAGCAGCAACAGGAGTAGAAGCAGCAGGAGCACTAGCTGCAGGGCCGAAGGAGGGGGAGGAGTACTAGTACTACTGTGGATGGAGGAAATCTTGCACCGCTTTTTAAATATGTTATGTAGCTTCACCCCTCGCCCCCTTCTTAACATTGCTATGAACACAGAGTTTTGCAAAATCGTTCCAATGACAGAAATCTTGCACGGAGACAAGACATCTGTCGTCAATGCTAAAAAGGGGGCGCGGGGTTGTTGCTTGGATGTGTACTCGAAACACTGTGTGTAGGTGGTGCAAGATTTCCTCCATCCACCGTAGTACTAGTACTAATACTAGTAGTACTAGTAGTAGTAGTAGTAGTAGTAGTAGTAGTAGTAGTAGCAGCAGTAGCAGTAGCAGTAGCAGTAGCAGTAGCAGTAGGAGTAGTAGTAGTAGTAGTAGTAGTAGCAGTAGTAGTAGTAGTAATAGAGGAGGAGGAGTGGCAGTGGCCGCGGCAGTGGCAGTGGCAGTGGTACTGGTAGTGGTGGTAGTAGTGGGTAGTAGTGGTGGTGGTGGTGGTAGTAGTAGTAGTAGAAAGCAAAATAGCAGCAGTATCAGTAGAATTGGCAGTAGTAGTAGCCGTAGCCGCAGCAGCTGACGCCACCGTTGCTTACAGAGCTACTGCGGGTTCACCGGTGGTCGTGCCTTCACCATGTAATCCTCAGCTGCACGAAGCCGGCCGTGATGGGTGCAGAAAGCGGTTAGTGTGTGCCCTCTTGTCTTTCGCTTCTTCACTCCCTTTCCCTCTCCTTGTCTTTTTTACTTCGACTCTTTCTCTCTGTCTGTCTGACATCTTTCTTTGTGGCCAGAGGCTCTCTCTGTCGCTCTCGCTCTCTCTATTCTAAATCTCTATAAGTGCTCGTCTCCAAGGGTCGCTTCCTGCTTTCCTTCCCTCCTTCCCGTCGGCTCGCATCGGCACTGAAGGACAGCCGTGTTCACACTTGCTCGCTCTACGTTAAACCCCGTCTACCCAACGCAAGGAAGTCCTTGTGAGACTTGTCTGGCGTCTGTCACTATGGGTCCCTCTGGCTGCCCACTTAATCAGCTCTATGTCGGCTTGCCTGCCCGCCCTCTGTGTCTGTGTGTGTGTGTGTTTGTTTGTTTGTAGAGGCAGTCTAGGCTTCGTGTGAGTCTTATGACCTCCAGCTTCTGCCAGGAGTCGATCTTCTG